TTTTATGACCTTATGACATTTTTGAACGACTTTCTTGAGACACGGCAGTAAGTTCTTTCTCTTCAATGTGCAAAAATGTTTCACTTTTTTTTTGTCAATTTGTAAAGGAAAATAGATATAGAAGACAATTTTTCATGTTCAATACACTCACATAGGATGCTATATGTATATATAAATATATATTTATTTCAGGACTGTGAGCTCATTGCCAGACATTGATGAAAGTGAAAAATATGGAACATTAGAGTCACACGAGGATGATAGTAACAGTGCTTTGGGATTCACCAATAGTTCTCCTTTAACGCAGACTACCATTGATGCTTCTCCACCGATACTGACTTCCACTTGTGTTCCTCTACGAACGCCTACACCAACTCTCGTTCCTCCAAGGACCTCAACACCCAGAAACGTCTCTCCACAAACGCCATTTAGTACGACTTCGCGAATACCGGCCACAAATGCGAAAAGTTAGTATATTTTCTTCTGTGTCCCTTGATGATATTAACTACACGTATCGAAATATGTATCGCTACAATAACATTGTTGCCTTGTATTCAGGACCGTTGCAAACTGTTGACAACTATTTCGATGAAACCCGTTTTAGTTTAGAATAAAATAGTTTATTAACAATGAAAAGATTAATAATAATTTAATTTTAATATTAAAATTTTAATAAATTAAAAAAATAAATAAATAATATAATAAATATAATAAATTTTAATAAAATGTATATTATTTACGTTTCAGAGCAAAAGACTGATGTCCTGCAAACAGCTTTAATAGAAGCTTTAAAAGAGTCAACAACGCAAACTGTTGATCCGTTAGATGGGTTTTTAGCACGGTTGAGAGAAGGCATGCGAAGGTTGCCATATCGCGACAGAGCTCACCTGGAAATACGATTTTTGACGTTGCTCGCTGAAATAGAAGATCTTTATCCATCAACGCGTTATTAATTAAAAGATTTTTATTTTTATTTTTATTTTGCTAAGCTGAATACAGTGACTCTTGACACGTTTCGTATCTCTCGATATTCTTTTCTGGAATGATCCATCCGTAGTTCTAAGTCTACATTTATCGTATTATTAAGAAAGTTCTTGTTAGATTTTTTATTTTGAAGTTAAATATGAATAAGTTTATTTACACACATTACGCTTATATTGATAAAAAAGTTGGATACTTAAATGTAATATAATGTGTACATACGTGTGCATGCGCAAGAAGATGAATGAAAATTGCAAACAATGTAAAACGATATTGTGATCTATGTAATAATCTAAGAACTTTTGAGAATGATAGCTCGGTTAATTTAGGTTTAAAATCCCGTACGTAGAAGAAACGTTACTATTATTCAGTTATTAACTGTATATATAAATGGTAGTGGAGTTGCAACTTAATACAAATGTATCAATATCTTATGAAAACATAAAAAATATCTATTTATCTTTATTGTTAATATAAATACAACTATCTTTTTAAAAATCGTTGAGCAGAACTTTTTCCCACTGCCAGGGTACTGCCCCGTTGTTTTCGAAATATGTAGCAAAGTCATCTCGAATTCTAGAGGCAAGTCGGGTATAAGCGTTAGTTCTGTTAGCATTGTTCATTTCTTGCAATGCACCGCTTGTCATAACTCCCCCTTCACTGAGAATACGACAATAACGTCTTTCGGAGAGTGGCAATTTGTTTTCATTGTGAATCACGAAATTATGCAAGCATACAGTCGCTTGAACAATTTTAACTGCGGTGGAGACAGATGCGATTATCGGTCGACGATAAATTCACCATTTCGCTGCCAAAATGCCAAACACACTTTCGATCATTCTTCGTGCTCGACTAAGACGGTAATTAAAGATTTTTCTTTGACGATTTAGACGTCCACTTCGTGGATACGGTCGCATCATGTAATGAGTCAAAGCGAATGCCTCATCCGCTACTAATACGAACGGTAATGCTGGGCCGGAAGCTTCAATTGGTCTCGGTTGTGGCAAATTTATTTGATTTTTTTGGAATCGCTGACCAAAGTTTGAATGCGTGAAGATGCCACCGTCGCTCTGTCTGCCTTCTCCACCAATGTCAACTAATGTAAAACAGTAATTGGCATCACCGCTAATAAATTAATGCTATGATTCTCCTTATAATTATAGAAAGTTGAGCCACTATGAGGAGGTGACTGAAATAGAAAATGACCATTTTCATCTCTTAAAGTAAATATAAATACAATAAAGTAAATATAAATATAAGTATATTTAAAATCGATTTACCTGTATTATTACGTGCTTCCCATCTATCGCACCTATGCAATGCGGAAAATTCCACTTTATTGCAAAATCATTCGCAATTCTCAGCCAATTCTCTTCCTTTATTTCAGGGAAAACTGATTTGTGGAGAGTATTCCACAATTCTTCACATGTCTCAGAAATAATTTTTCAGACAGTGTTTACTCCAATCCGAAAAGAATAGGCTATTGAAGCCATACTGTCCCCAGACGCTAAATACCGTAAACATACCAAAAGCCGTGTACGGCTTGATATTGGATCTCGAATGACATACTGCTTTTCAATGAATGGCCCAACAATACTCAACAACTGATGGAACATCTCTGTGGAGATTCGACAATAATTATAAAACATTTCGTGATCTTCAAATTCCATTTCTCTGACCAGATTGTCACTGGCACCTTGTAAAAATCTTTGTCTTTCTCTAAATATCGGGCGCACCCACATTCTATCATGAGCTTTTCCCTCTTCAATCATCAATTTCCATATTGCAAACAGTTTTAATATATGGCGTTTCCCAACTTTCCGATGTTGAAGTGTTTGCTTCATCTTCTTCCATTTTCGCCATCGTTTCCATATAATTAATAATACTATGTCAGGATCCATTATTACTTACGTACTTGCTATACGTACTTTTCTCGCTGTCCTCCTTGATGTTCGTATCTATACTTCTAGCAGAACTTGACCTTGGCTTCTTAAAACTTGCCGAAGATTGCTTATAAAAAAGCAAGTTATATTATAGATAACATTTGTAAAAAAAACATCGGTATATACATAAAACTAATATTACAGATCAATGCAGAAGTAATTAAATTACAAGTTGGAACAAACATCTCTTTCAACATAGTTTATCTTTTTAAACATTAAAGAAAGGACAAAAAGGACATCTGCATTAATCTTTCTTCTTATGGAGCCTTAAGGAGATTAAATTTAATATTTTGATTATTAGAAATATATTATTACCTTAAAAATGCTGCTAAATGCAAAGCTGTCCTGCATCGACTACTACGCATTCGTCTTCTACGTTTATCTTGCCGGTTTTTATTAAACATGCGCATTTTACGGAACCAAAAGTATCGGTTCCCCATGAAGCGCACTTTTTGTAACGCGTAGGTTACCAAAACCAATCACAAATCATATTTAGCATTTCTGTTAGAGCATACATCGGAAACTCTAATCTTCGATTGGTTGTATTAGTTACGCGTTCCGCGCAATACGCTCTATGTGAATGCCGACTTTCAGAATGGCGTAACTTTTATTAAATTACTAGATAACACTAGAATACGCAGATTACGCTTTACGCAGGTTACGCCTCATGTGACGGCACCCTTACAATCTTATGCTACGGTCATGTCGACGAATCTTTAATCACGATTTACAACAGATAATTTAAGCCTTAAGCCTTAAGAAATTGTCCAATCACAGCTGAGCATTGCCTTCATAAGCCGCATTACGAAATTATTATCAGTATACTGCAAATTCTATAGTGCACGTTATGTATATTATATATTTTCAGTGTTGACAGTAAATTGGCAGCAATTTCGGAACACAGCCATACTTGACTGTGATTTGTCAATTTCTTGAATCTTACGCCTTACAACCTTATTCTACGGCCATTGTAGACGACTCTTGAAGCGTCGTTTACACTGAGATTTTAAGGAGACTTAAGGCGTAAGACTTAAGAAATTGACCAATCACAATCGAATATTTTCTTAATACTTGACTGTAATTGGTTAATTTCTTAAATCTTACGACTTAAGTCTCCTTAAAATTTCATTGTAGACCACGCTTAATGTAGCGTCTATAATAAGATTTTAAGGCGTAAGGCTTATGAAATTGGCCAATCACAGTATAGTATATTAAGGGAATATTGTGTTTGATGAATTTCTTAAGACAAACACCTTAATATCTCATTGTAGATGACGTTTAAAGGCAATTCTACAGTGGCCGTAGCATAAGGTGTAAGGCGTAAAACTCAAAAAATTGACGAATCACAGTCGAGTATTCTCTTAATATTTGACTGCAATTGGTCAATTTCTTGTATCTTACGCCTTACAACCTTATGCTACGGCCACTTAGGACGACCTTAAAGCACCGTCTACAATGGCAGTAGAATTAATGAATTAAAGCTGAAATTCAATAAATTGACCAATCACAGTCGAGTATTCTTTTAAGGCTTGAATGTGATTGGCCAATTCTTTAAGTTACTGCTTTAATCCGTTAATCCTACTGCCATTGTAGACAACGTGTTAAGCGTCTTCTACAATGAGATTTTAAGGCGTTAGACTTAAGAAATTGACCAATTACAATCGAATATTCTCTTAAGGCCGGGTCTACAATAGGTGTAGTAAGCCTTTAGACTTAAGCTTTAAGCTTTAAGCTTGCTTTGAGCCATAAGCTTTAATAAATGTTCTTATAACAAGACGGTCTACAATGTGCTCTATCATAAAGCATAACGACCAATGAAATAATTGCTAGTTTTTTGCAGCGAAAGTGGCAGTTTATATTTATTACTTATATATTATCAAAATGAATAATTTAATATTACCCATTTTGACATTAAGTAATTTCCAAAATGTGCTTTTGTACACCTATTTAAAGAAAAAGAATCGAAGAAGGTGGTGAATAAGATATGTTAACCAACAAAGAGCGCAACAAGGAGTATTCAATATGTTCAAAGAATTATATTTTACGGATGAAGAACAATTTTTTGAGTATACTAGAATGAATACAACACAATTTGATTTTCTGCTTTCCTTGGTTGGACCAATGCTGCAAAAGCATAGTTTAAGAAAGCCTCTCTCTGCAAGACTTCATCTGGCTGTGACTTTAAGGTTAATATATACTCTATTAATATTAATATAATTTTAAATATTCTATTTTATGTTGTATATTTTTCATTGTTACAGCTACCTGGCATCTGGTGATAGTCCTAAGTATTTATCAAAATATTATAGAATTGGTGCATCAACTATTTATAAAATTATACAGGAGACATGTGAATGTATTTGGAAAACTCTGTCTCCTTTGTGTCTTGCAGCACCTTCAGTTGAAAAGTGGAATGAAATAGCTGAACATTTCTATACTCGTTGGAATATGCCTAACTGTGTCGGTTCTCTTGATGGAAAACATGTCCGTATTCAATGTCCTCCTCTCAGTGGTTCAGAAAACTTTAACTATAAAAAATATTTTAGTATTGTGTTAATGGCATGTTGTGATGCCAACTATTGCTTCACATGGGTGGAAATTGGTGATTATGGTAAGATCAATCCTGAAATTATATAATATTGGTTAAAGTTTTGAGATGTTTTATTTATTTTTTGTAAATTTTTGGGTTATTTTAGGCTCTCTGCCAGATAGTAGTATTTTTGCCAATTCAGGATTAGGAAAAGCCTTGGAAACAAATTCTCTAAATCTTCCTCCATCTAAAGAATTACCAAACACAAACGAGAAAATACCTCATTTCTTTGTAGGAGATGAGGCATTTCCTCTGCGAACTAATTTAATGCGTCCTTATTCAAGAAAAGGCATTAAAAGCGACAGAGAAAGAATATTTAATTATAGATTGTCTCGTGCTCGAAGAATAATAGAAAATGCCTTTGGTATTCTTTCATCAAGGTAAATATATAATATTTTTATTTGAACAATGCAATTTTTCGTAATGGAATATTTATTCTCGTTAACAGATGGAGAGTTTTTCACTCATGTATTTGCATGAAAGAGGAAAATGTGGAAAAAATAGTATTGGCTACAGTATGTCTTCATAATTTTTTAATGATGCGAGAGGACCGTGAAGTTGAAAGGAAGATTTATTGCCCTACAACTTATATTGATTATGAAAATGATGATGGATCAGTAACTCCAGGAATGTGGCGTAATGCTTCAATGGATTCAAATCTTATAGATATTGGTCGTTTAGGTTGCAATAGTGCAACAAGAAAGGCTGTAGCTCAAAGAGAGGCTTTAGCTGATTAGATAATTGGGGAAGGACAAATACCCTGGCAATCTCAAATAAATTTTTATGCCCATCATGTCAATTTTCCTCTATTGCAGTGATAAATGAAAATATTTTATTTTTTTTTACAAGCAAAATTATTGACTATTATTTCAATTATTTATTAACTATATATCATTAAGTACAAATATAAACTATGTTTATGACAAAAAACATTATTAATTTTACTTTGCTAAGTAACATATAATTTCAAATTATTACATATATCCATATTTACCCTAATATTTTTGTATTCTAGTCAATAAGCAAAGATGTACTAATAGTAAGAATTATTGAGGAATCAATTTAATAGTTGTAAGCTGAGGCAATAAGAAAATCATTTATCAGATTTTGATAATAATATGAGCTGAGGCAATAAGAAAATCATTTATCAGATTTTGAAATTTTTTTGATCAAAATAACCTCTCATGTTACATATAATGTAGTATATTTTATAATTATATCTGGTTCTTCAATAAAAATGTTTCTATTTTATAATAATGCACCTGTAAGAGTATTTTAATTAAAAAAGAAATATTGAACAAGCATTTCTATTTACTTAATACTGTTTTATTATTTACGAATGATACACTTCCATATTAGAACATATAATTTCTTAAAAAACATTTAATAACATATGTGGAAAACAAATTATGTATGAGAAAAATATGCTATTATAATTACAAACAAAAACATAAACTATATTTATGACAAAAAATGCTACCTTTGCTAAATAACATAATTAAAATTATAGAAATTATATTTGATAATTAGCAATATAATTTGAAATTATAAAATCTATATTTCAATATAAAAAAAAATATTTTACCATATCACATCCGCATTATTTTTAAAAAATTATAGAACTTTAATATCACATCAAACATCACATGAGATACTATTATATCATCACATTATTTAACATTAAAGAAATACAATGAGTATTTATTCCTTGAATTTTTCAATGAGCTGCAACACAGCTATCAGGCAGGATAATTGATTTTCTGGCATCACTGTTTTTAAAGCTTGTGAAATCACAATTGTATTTGCATCAGAAAATCCTTCTTTTTCTTTAATTTCTTTATCCTTGTATGTTGTTGCCAGATCACTAATGGCTTGTGATGATTTATTAAGCAGATCTTCCAAACGTTCATTACTAGCTTTCTTTTTTTTTGCAAAATTATCAAGAGGAGGTACCAAAATTCGCTTTGCAGATTTTGGAACCCCTTCTTGATAATTGGATTTTTTGGAAGTTTGTGGAGTGAAAATATGTGAAGTGGAGGTCTGCAAAGTGGATCCAATGTTCTCTTTTTCTGTAGTAAAAACTCCACTTGATTCAGACTGTGCTGTATCTTCTGTAGAAGTATTCAAATTCTCTAAAATCATAAAATAATTTATATCAAAGAAAAATTTAAAATTAATAACTTAAAAAAAAAATAGTCATCATATTATAGTATATCATACCAACGGTTAATGATGCATTGCAATCATCATTCCAGTCAGAAAATCTAGCAGAGTAAGTGTAAGAGGCTGGAAATTGACAATGACTTGTAATGACATCGGTAGGTGACTGAGGAATAGATGAATTTATTGAACAACTGCTAGAAGTTTCACTACATCTGGACGATGCAATTTGCAGCAATGAACCTCTTGTTCTACATACACAAAAGAGAAAACATTTATTATAAATGAATGTATTATATTTTGTAACAATAAAACCAAAAAATAAAATTGTAAATATTTTTATTATCATATTCCTTGCATTGTTTAATTGTAAATGTTTCAAATTGAAAGGAAAGTGTAATGTATTTTATATATATTTTTAGGAAAACGAAAACCTAAATAAACTTACTTTCTGTTTTGAATGTGAGGCTTAAGAAATGACATGTATGACATAAGAGGCCATTCTGATGTTTGTCCAGAACCTGATGGCTGGATTTTCTGAGCTCTCAATTTTCTACTAAATTGATTTCTTAAGCAATCCCAACGTTTCTTTGCTTCATTGGCTGTAAAATAGAAATACTGAAATGGATATTCAACAGCTTTGAAGGGAAATAAAATATGTTAACCTACTTGTGCAATTCAAAGACTCAGCAATCGATTCCCACTTCATTTCTTTCATTTTATTATCTTTATAAGATGCATCATTTTTTGCATATAAACAAGGATTTGCTTGCACAATAGCAATTAAAATTTCATCATCGATGAAATTATTATTATTATCTTCAATATCTTCAATGTCCGACATCGTGATAATAACTAAAGTAATAACTATACTTTTCTTTCATTGGCTGAAAGAAATTATATCAGTCGAAAGTTTTAAGTTTTAAGTTTTAAGAACTGGGATCTGGCCAGCTCGCTTAGAGCTTAAAGATTAGAGCTTCAGGCAGCGCGGGAAACATTTTTGGCCGGAAACTACGTCACACTTTAGCGCTTAAAGCAGAAGTCTAAAGGCTTACTACACCTATTGTAGACCCGGCCTAATACTAGACTGTGATTGGTCAATTTCTTAAGGCTTAGGGCTTAAATTATTTATTGTAGATCGGGATTAAAGGGTCGTCTGCAATGGCCGTAGAATAAGGTTGTAAGTCATAAAACTCAAGAAATTGACCAATCACAGTCGAGTATTCTTTTAATATTTGACTGTGATTGGTCAATTATTTGAGTTTTTCGCATTACAACCTTATGCTACAGCCACTGTAGCAAGCCACTGTAGAATTGCCTTTAAGCATCATCTATAATGAGATATTAAGGCGTTTGTCTTAAGAAATTCACCAAACACAATCGAATATTCCCTTAATACTATACTGTGATTGGTCAATTTCTTAAGTCTTACGCATTAAAATCTTAGTATAGACGCTACATTAAGCGTCGTTTACAATGAAATTTTAAGGAGACTTAAGGCGTAAGATTTAAGAAATTGACCAATTACAGTCAAGTACTAAGGAAATATTCGATTGTGATTGGTCAATTTCTTAAGTCTTACGTCTTAAGTCTCCTTAAAATCTCAGCGTAGACGACGCTTCAAGAGTCGTCTACAATGGCCGTAGTATAATGTTGTAAGGCGTAAGACTCAAGAAATTGACCAATCACATTCAAGTATGGCCGTGTTCCGAAATTGCTGACAGTTTACTGCCAACACTAAAAATATATAATATACGTAACGTGCACTATAGAATTTGCAGTACTGGTAATAATAACGGAACACGGCTTATGAAGAAAAGCTCGGATGTGATTATGCAATTTCTTAAGGCTTAGAGCTTAAATTATCTGTTGTAGATCGGGATTAAAGGTTCGACTGCAGTGGCCGTAGCATAAGATTGTAAGGCGTAAAACTCAAGAAATTGAATCACAGTCAAATATTAAGAGTATACTCGACTGTGATTGGTCAATTTTTTGAGTTTTACTCCTTACAACCTTATGCTACGCCCATTGCAGACGTACCTTTAATCTCAATCTACAACAGATAATTTAAGCCCTAAGCCTTAAGAAATTGCCCAAGCACAGCCGAGCATTCTCATCATTAGCCGTGTTCCGAAATTGTTACCAGTACTGCAAATTCTATAGTGCACGTTACGTATATTATATATTTTCAGTTTTGGCAATAAACTGGCAGCAATTTCCCTACACGGCCATACTTGACTGTGATTTTTCAATTTCTTGAGTCTTACGCCTTACAACCTTATGCTACGGCCATTGTAGACAACTCTTGAAGCGTCATCTACACTGAAATTTTAAAGAGACTTAAGGCGTAAGACTTAAAAAGTTGACCAATCACAGTATAGTATTAAGGGAATATTCGATTGTGTTTGGTGAATTTCTTAAGAAAAACGACTTAATATCTCATTGTAGATGACGCTTAAAGGCAATTCTACAGTGACCGTAGCATAAGGTTGTAAGTCGAAAACTCAAGAAATTGACCAATCACAGTCAAATATTAAGAGAATACTCGACTGTGATTGGTCAATTTCTTGAGTTTTATGGCTTACAACCTTATTCTACGGCCATTGTGGACGACCCTTTAATCCCGATCTACAATAGATAATTTAAGCTCTAAGCCTTAAGAAATTGACCAATCACAGCAGAGCATTCTCTTCATATATCGTATTCCGAAATTACTATCAGTACTGCAAATTCTATAGTGGACGTTACGTATATTATATATTCTCAGTGTTGGCAGTAAACTGGCAGCAATTTCGGAACACGGCCATACTTGAATGTGATTGGTCAATTTCTTGAATCTTACGCCTTACAACCTTATACTACGGCCATTGTAGACGACTCTTGAAGCGTCGTTTATACTGAGATTTTAAGGAGATTTAAGGCGTAAGACTTAAGAAATTGACCAATCACAATCGAATATTTTCTTAATACTTGACTGAAATTGGAAATTTCTTAAATCTTACGACTTAAATCTCCTTAAAATTTCATTGTAGACGCTTAATGTAGCGTCTATAATAAGATTTTAAGACGTAAGTCTTAAGAAATTGACCAATCACGGTCTATTATTAAGAGAATATTCGATTGTGATTGTTCAATTTCTTAAGTCTTACGCCTTAAATCTCTTTGTAGAAGACGCTTAACACGTCGTCTACGATGGCAGTAGAATTAACGGATTAAAGCAGTAACTTAAGGAATTGACCAATCTCATTCAAGCATTAAAAGAATACTCGACTGTGATTGGTCAATTAATTGAGTTACAACCAGTGAACTCTATACTATAACTGAAATGTGCACTGCCGTTGTTAGCGCCCGGGACATCAAAAAAAAGGACAGGTTGCTTTGGAACGATTCCTGTCTCCGTCTAGTAAATTTTTATTGGTCGATAATTTTATATGATCTTTGTTACAAACATCAGTCTTACTAACTTTAACTCGATTGACTAACTGACAACCTGCCTGCTCACAGCTGCTTTTCACCTTTATTATTGAAAATATTAATGTTTCGTTCTTTTATTTATATATTTTTATTTTTTATATGG